CAAGAAAAACTCAAACCACAAAACCAGAAGGAGGAAAAAAGCAACTTTTACTGCCTAATGCATTCAGACAGAACAGGTTTTCAACTTTGTTCACAGAATTGTTGTTGGGGCTCGTTCAATGACTGTAAACACAAAGCATACATGACCCAGAACTAAGAAGTCCCCTTGCCCAGGAGGTGAGAAGTCATCTTTCCTCTTAACCTGGCTGTCCCTTGCCAGCAACATTCCCCTTCGCTCTAGTTTCAAAGGCAAATTCTGAACACTGCTGTGTCCTGGCGGAGGAGACCCTGGTTGCCAACTTAGAAAGCAGTGTCTGAGAAGATAAAGTATCTTCCTTGAGTAATTCAGTGGTCTTGACTCCAAAACCAGATTTTGCTTCACATAAACAGTTCTGATCCATCCACGTTAAGTGCCAAGATTCCATATAGGATTCTGGATTATATCCTGGCTAAGGTTGCCAGAAGCTACACACTGCAAACTCATCTGTCGATATTGAAAGTCCAACTCAGTTCTTGCAGACAGTTATAACACACAGATTACATACCAACAAGCCCATTTAATCACATAAATTTTGTATAATTCAAAGCCCATGGTAAAACAAAATTGAAGAGAAATTGGAGTAAACATACTTTACACAGTTTGTAGAATGAGGAAACAGATTCTTTTATTATTAAGCAAACCCCTTGGTCTCAGTGGTGACAGTAGACCTCTGAAGAACCATTCATTCCAGTAACTGCTGAGCAGAGTAAATGATTAATAACTTTCAAAAAGCTGGTTTAGTGGGAGCCCAAAAAACAAAACACAAAGGAACTAAGCTTCAGGGCTATACAACTAGTTTTATTGTAAAGTATTATTATATAGTGATTCTAACTTTTCTTATGCAAATATTGAGTGATGACTGCTAAATAACAAAACAGCAGGTGAAGAGAAAGCCAGATAAAGTACTGAAAGCTTTTCAGAGTCCCTGTATTACAGTCAAAAATAGAACTTCAAAGACTAAGTCTAACAGGATGTCTCATCTCAAGGGAGAACACATTAAAGACTTGTCATAATCCAAGTAAATTGTTTGCACTGTTTTCACCGCTGAAAAATAGCTAAGTAGTCTTCAAGTGAAACAGTGTTGTTGATGTAAGTTGATGTAACTACTCCTAGGAGAAGATGAAAAGATGAGCATCCAAGTCCTCACCTTCTGTTGTGTATAAGCAATTCCTGACTCAGGAGATAAAATTTTTATATTTTAACAAAGATGTTGGGTTAAGTCCTCATAGCCCTTAAACATCACCAAGTCACCACATGAGTTGGTAAAACAATAAGATGATCCAATAACTTAGCAGCAATCCAACTGAAAGCAGGCAGATCAAGAGACTTGGCAAGCACAGGGAATACTCTGCATGCAGGCCAAAGAACCAGATTCTGAAATTATTTCTGTATATTAATGAATGAAACTTGTGTCACATGCTTCACCACAAAAAATGTTATTTACATTATACATTATCAACTGTGAACTAAGCTTCCCAAGCACAAGAGTGAAAATAGTAAAATTGCTTTGTTTTTACAGCAATGGTAACACAAATTAGGAAGCCTGGAACGAAGGTATTCCAATGCACTCCTGCAATGAAATGCAAGAAAAGTTTTGATGAAAAGCAAAACATCATGAACTAAACAGCACAGTGGTTTTAAAATTTGTCCAGCATTTATTTACAAGGTTAAATATTTCATAAATAAACAGACATAAATAGACAGATACTCTTAAAACAGCAACAGAATATTCCATTACACTTTGTGGATTCTGGTTTTCAATGAACACAAGCAATGTTAAATATTGCTGTAGTAGATTTTGTACTTCACTGCTAATTTTACACTAAACAAACACTGCAAGCAGGAAAACAGATCTTTAGGACACAAGAGGAAAAACAGTTAATTTCTGTCCTTTCCATAATGTCTACATTTCCAGAAAATGATGGACCTGATCCTTTAATGTTATGCTCATTAAATGTTACATTTAATGTTACTCTCATGAATAAATCTCATCAATTTTAATACAGAAGAATTCATAATAAGAAAGGCAAACAAGTGTACACATATATTCTGGACTGAAGAAAATTTGGACCTTATACACAGTAATTACTTTAGTGGACACATTATTACTCCTATACAGAGGTTTTGCTTTCACAAGGAAAAAATGTGATGGAACAAAAAAGTGCGTATTAAACATTTCAACAAATAAAGTAAAACTTTATTTAAATTATAAGTTCACACAGACTGCCATTAATAAAACAACATTAGCTTGTTGCAGTTAAATGAGATTGAACTCTGCTGCATGTTCTGTATTCCAGCCCTTCAAGCACAGCGAGATGTCAGCCCTCAGGAGACAGAATCCTGCCTCATTAAAGTCAATGGGAATTTTGCCATTGATTTCTGAGTAGAAAAATGTTTTGGAGTTAGCTTTCTCTCTCTCCCCTCTTTTTTGAAAAAGTAAGTCAGACCAGAGAGAAATCTTCCCCATTCCAATGAACATGACTAAAACACAGAAAGAAAATAAATATAAAGGATTTATTCTAAAATCTCTGGCAACAATTCAATTCCAGCAGAAGCCGAGAATTTTATGATCTTTCTTTTCAGTAGCCCCCAAACAACCCAGTTTTGTTTGACTACATATTAACAAAATCAGATGCATGAATTTCATTAGGACTGGAGAAGTCTGTACCAGAGCAGTTTAATATGCAGAAGGGGATAATACATGCAGCAGAACTGACCACCTTCAGTTCAGATCACTCAATGCTTGGCTGTGTAAACTCTCCTTTTCTGAGCCAGAGTTGCCCCTGCCTGGATATTTCTTCCCTTGACTTGTCCCAAGCTGTCCTTTTGCCCCTCTTTCCTTCATTCCATAGAGAGTCTCAACCAGGGATACATGCCTTTTGAGTGTGAAAATTGCTGGACTCCAGAAGGGCTCCACAATGCATACTTGGGAAGTTACGAAGGGGAATGCTATCGAACCCTAACTGTTTAGGTACACAAACATGTTGCCAGATGACCCAATGTCAGGATTTCTCCTAAGGTTGTGTTTTTAGCCTTCCCTTGAAGGCTAAAAATGAGGCATATACCGGCAGGGAAAATACCCAAACATTTGATTTATGACAAGCAAAACTGGACTTTGTAATGCCAGGTCCTAGTCAGCTCCCTGCCAGCCACAGCAAGAAGCTCGGGTAACTTGATTCACTACTGAATTTGGGCATCTGAAGTGAAGATAGCATTATTGTGGTTGCTGTGGTTTTAAATTGTGACAGAACTTCCAGTTTGTTACCAAGATAATTCTGAAATAAGAGCAAAACCATAAATCAGCTGCTTGCAAAAGCTTGCAGACCATGACAAAAGCACACTGAATATTTCACTGATGGCTGTTTCTGGATACCTACGTTGTTAATATAGGACGTTATTAAGCAGTCTTCACAGAACTGTTCTGCAGGAAATAAGCTCCATGTAGCCCTGCCACTACACTTTCTCGCTTGAAAAGTTTCCTATGATGAATATGGAGACCATACAGTGTGTGTGACTTGGTATATTTTGAGCAGAATAATTTACATGCCTCGCAGAGTTACCCTGTCTTGGATGCTCTTCCCCCGCATATCTTTCTACCCATATAAGTTAGCTTTACAGATTTACCATTGTTACATCCTCTACTACCAACCTAAACACAAGAGTACCACAACCTGAAGACAAGTGAAAGGTCCAGAACCTGGGGGAAAAAGAAACTCTTAAATTAGTTGTTCAACTAAGCCTTCCAGAAATGCCCTAACTGGAAGAAAGCAGCAATTCAAAAGCATTAAATTAGGCTTGTACCTCCAGAAGACTGTTCGGTGATTTGGATTTTTACAAATAGTCTTTTACCAAAGAATTACACTATGCAGTATCTGGTTTAAAAGGTTATTGCAACAAAACGGGAATAAGAGGTAATCACAGGAGGCTTATTTCTTCTTTTCAGTTAAGGAGAGAATTTAAATTTCACTGTCACTGGGTTAGAAGTTACACTATTATTCAACTCAGAAGGCAGGGTACATAAAATTATTGTGCCCAAAGAAGCTAAGATAAAATATTCCATGGGCCTTCCAAAGCCTTGCAAAAAAAACCCTGAAAAATTGAACTCGTGTTCACTTTCACCACTAAGTAAAGATCAAGCCATACACTGTCCCATAAACAGCAACAGGGTCCACTAACAGTGAGCCAATGTTGTGGATAATCAAAAAAAGTCATTATTGGCACCACTCATTCTGTAGGAAGTAACAATAGTATCCAATACATTCAAATAAATTATAGGAAGCATTAGAAATCTGCAAACTCTAAGGCAGTGAAGGAGTCACAATATCTGAGCTTGAGTAGGCTTGAGCTCTACTTTTGCTAAAGGCAGAATTCCTACAGTTCACTGGCAGACCTCGATGATTTTAGGACTTCTCCATTAATTTTACCATATGCTAAATAAAAGTTTAGACCTCTCACTTTAGGATGGCCACATTTAAATAGAACTGTACAATGCTCATTGAGTTCACATGGCTTAGCATAAAAATTCAAGTGCAAAAATCTAAGTTAAAAACCATTTACTATTAAAAAAATCCAACTTATAAAAAACTACTGGATCCAGAATTTTTCCTCTAATATTGTAAATTTCCTTTTTTCAGTTGGCACACAGCTGACATTGCAGTAATGCCTCATCATGCAAGATATAAATGGAAGAAGAGCAACGGAAAGAAACAAACTAAAAACTGCAATGCTCCCAGCCAACCACCACCACCGAGAAAATGAGTGAGACACCCTAATTTCTCAGTACTATCTTATGGCACAGTTACAAGTACCGGTAACAGTAGTAATTGAATGTAACAAAAAAGTCACCATTGCAATCTTAGTGATACACATGAGCCAAAATCTACCACTTAAAATAGTGAGATATTTCATACTGAACCTGAACATCAACACACTTCTGGACTTAAACACAAAAAGACCCTTACCAGGAATAATCATGAATAAGAGCCGGGGTAGATTTTTACTTTCATCTTTTGAGAGGTCTTTCCAGGGCCCACACTTTAAGACATGGGTAGCAGCTCCACAACAGTAGATAAATTCTTCATGTAATGGGACTGACTCTTCTGACGGTGACCTCATGTTTGCTGTGAGGCAGAATAAGGTACTGTTATAACAGGTCAACAAACATTTACATGGTTGGCTCTTTGCTATTGTACTTTCCCACAGAATAATTGCAAAAAAACCCACCCAAACCACCCCCCCTCCCCTGAACAGCTCTCATATCCAGTAAACTGAGGTCCAATTCAGTATCTGACGATTGAAGAGAGTGTAGAGGGTGATATATATTACTACCATATGAAGGCACCTTTCAGTTTTGTCACAAAAGTACACAGCGATGAACTGGACAATAAGATCTATTCTACCTCAAAGGCAAATAATTTTAAATTTCTTAATTCATGCCATCTAGTGAAAAGATTTATCTGAAACCCACCCAAAGGCAAACAAAAGAAAAAACACCAAACACACTGAACTACTGCATGACTGTCTTTACAAGTTCTGTGTGCCTCATAATAAATCTGGATATTGGCGCATACCACCATGACCTTTAAAACCATCAAAAGCATCTAGTTAAGGATAATCTTAGGCCTTTCAACTATTTTTGTTTAGTGAAAAAGGACCATTCATTTTTCAGTACAACAATACAAATTCTGTTTCCTAGTCAGTTTGTGAAGTTTTAGGCATGTAAACCAAAGCCTAAAAAGACATACAAAAAGTTTCAAGTCTATTAGGCACTACCTTCATAAACAGTCACTGGAAAATTCTCTGTACTACACATCAGGACAGGAACAGATCTGAGTGAAATTTTAAGTAATGATACTTGACAACATTAAAAAAGTACACTTGAAACAACATTTCTTCACTTCCTCCAGTTTTAATCTGAAGTTTTGAATTATTTAAGGTAAAGAATACCCAACGCAGAAAAGACAGATAACGTTGGTTTGAATTAGCAAGTACCACCTTGAAAAAAATTGAGCATAGTACAAAGAAAAAACACTTCTGGAGGGAAGGGAGAAGAGTTCTTTGATACTTTCAATTACAATACAGCTCTCTGGATTAAACTTTCCCCCCCACCTCCCTATTTCACCTCACTCCCCTCAAAAAAGAAGGTTTTTTAATGACAAAGGAGACACTTTCACTACTTCATTATTTGCCATGTTGTTGTCTTAGAGCAACTAAAACGCAAGTAAAGTGAATTTTGTCAAACTATAAAAAGGTGTATTCTTAATGCATTATTCCTGCTTTTATTTCTTCATTATTTGAAGCTGAAAGAAGCTAAGACCAGTTCTGACAGAGAAACCTAGTTACTCCAACAACCACAGTAAATGTTAAGCTTCTCATCCCTTTTCTGAGGTGTTTACAATTCAAGAAGCAAAAGTAACCAGTCCTTACCCAATAAAGAAGGTTCTATACAAAGTTTCTGATCATGAAATCTGTTGCAAAATTTCATTTTGAATTGATTTCATGGAACAACTCCAAATGGAAATTGCACTGACAACTCTTCATTCACAAGAACTATTTGCAACGTAAGTCAGAAGTTAAGCAATGAAGAAAACTCAGCAATGTATTTTGGACTGGAGTGGTAGGATTTTCAGGTTCACACAGACTTCTTGTACTAGCTTTGGTCAAGTTTTTAACTTCTAATTTCAAATACACACAGTGTTGCAGTACCTGAAAGGAAGACCACACTGGAGAAGAAATGGTTCTCTAAAAAGCTGCTCGTCTGAGACAATCCCAAACAGTTTCCTAGTACTAACTCTAGGTAACATCCAAGAGATTTTTTATTTATTTATTGTTGGGTTTTTAATTTGTGACTCTATGGCCTTTGTTAATAGAGATGGACAGAAGAGAAAAACAGAGAAAAGATAGTGGATGTGCTCCCAGTATACTGCTCAGGCCTGTTTTAAGATCAAATGAGTAACACCCAGAAATGCCTCTGGATCTCCTTCCCTCTTCTTAAATGAAGCTCTGAAGAACAGTTTTTCCATTACAGGCATCTATCTTTGACATGAATTGCCCGCATTTCCCCTAGAAATATCTTAAGATGGTCTATCAATTTCCAAACAGATTTAACAGGCAGAGGTCTCAAGAGATGAGGTTCCTACCAGCTCTGTCAGGTGGTGGAGAAGGCACAGTTTGTGCCCCAGCAGCAGTTTCAAGAATGCTGAGGAGAAAACAGAACCACAAACTTGACCAGTGAGAGTTTCACATGAATCATCACACAGTCAAAGAGATGCAACTACTTAGGAAATCAGGCCTTGCAGGTTTTTTTCCTTCTCTTCAAGCCCTCCTCATGAATTCTCTAAACATATGTGGGAAAAGTATTACAAGAAATGCAGCTTCTATCAACAGTACTTACTCTTGTTACAAAACTTTGGTTAGAATACAGAAATATGGGCTTTGATTGACAGGGCTTTAGCACTAGATTAACACACCCTTAATGTAGGTGTCTACCTGAATGCAAACTCCTATTACAGGATACAAAGATTTAGGTGTCAGTGTATGGCCTGATCAGGGAATAACCATCCTCTTGGTTTTCACCTCAGGATGAGACAAATCCTCCCCTGGTTTGCAAAGACTATAACGAAAACTGAGACACACACTTGCACTTGCAAACCAACACATATATTTAGGTGTTTTACTACTGATCCGGATGCCACCTACAGTCATTTTTTTCAGATAGGAATATTTGAAAACAGAGTTACCCACAAACAGCAGATTACTTCTGCCATATGACTGAGTCTCTTCATATTCATCTTTGGTTCAACTGGCCCCAAAGTAAAATGCTGATTGCAAAACTAAGTTTCCTCTGCACACATTGTGCTAATTATTTATGCAACTCTCCTGATAGCATATTTTAACTGCTCCATCATACACTATTACTTGGATGTGGCATTTTATTTAAAAGATAGCTTGGAAATAACGAAATTTGTGATCTGCATTCAAAAGAATGTTTAGTGACAGAAATGTCACAAACTGAGACTAGCACCACATAATGTAATTAGAGTCAGTTGATAGTTGGCATACAAACTATCCAATAACAAGACAGGACAAGCAGGCTGGTGTACCTGAAGCAAGAGACAGAATGGTAACCACAAGGGTAGAGTTGCATAAATCAATGATGAAACCAAAACAAAGGAGAAAGGACTATTGAGGCAGATTTGACATATGTGATTACAAAAAAAAACATAAGAAATACATCCCAGGGTTTCCCTGGCCAGGGTTGCTCTGAGACCACTCTCTATCCTTTCTTGTAAGTCACAATAACATTGGAACAAGGTACCCAGGAAAACGGTGGAATCACTACTTCTGGAAGCATTCAAAAGTGTCTGGATGTGGCACCTGGGGAAATGGTTCAATGGTGAACATGGCAGTGCTGGGTTAACAGTCAGACTTGAGTCTGACATAGAGCTCTTTTCCAACCTTAATGATTCTATGATTGTGAGACATGCCTGAAAACTGCAAAGAAGGAAACCACCATGCCCATGTTGGAGTGTGCAGGGAGCTCTGGGCCAGTCAATCTCAGTTCACAGAAAGTTATCAAACAAAATCACCCCCAAAGTTGTACTCAAGCACATGAAACAGCCATTAACTTACCAGTAATGTCTTTCAAGGATTAGTGTTGGGCAACAATGTTCAATGTCTTCATTGAATACCTACACAATGGGACAGGAGGCCCTCTCAGCAGGTTTGTGAATAATATCAAGGGAGGAAGACACACCAACTGAAACACTGGAGGGCAGGGCTGCTATCCAAACAGGCAGCTGGAAAAACGGGAACTGAATGAAAGTCCAAGGCAAATGGAAAGTTCTTGCACCCAGAGCTCAGTAACCCCATGTAGCAACACGGGCTGGGGGCTCAAAGGCTAAGAAGCGGCTTTCCAAAAAACACACTAGTGATTAACAAGCTGGAAATGAGTCAGTAGTGTGCCCTTGCAACCATCACGCCCATGTGTATACAAGATTGCATAAAAAGGAGTAGCCAGCAAGTCTTGGGGTGTGATTATCTTCTCCTGCTTGGCACTGGAAAGACTGGAGTACTGTGTCCAGTTTTGGACTGTTCATACAAGCACAACATCAATATACTGGAGACACTCAACTAGATTATATGGATCTGAAGCATGTGACGTACATCCAAAGGACAAGGAAAAACAGTCAAAAGTTGCAATGAAGGTAATTTCAATTACAAAGGTTTCCCCACATGCACACTGAGGATTATTAAATAATGAAAGAAATTGCACAGAGAGGCTGTGGAATCTCCAACTGGAAAATGCTTTCAGCAACCTGACCTACTTTGCCCTTTTTGAGAAAGGAGCTGGACTACAGCTTACGGATAACGTACAGAAGTTGGATGTACGTAAATTCCTGAGACTGAACTTAGGTACACCTTAAATTGCCAAAATAATTGGTTGATGCACTTGCAAGGCTGCTGCTTAACAAAAATCACTGTAAACCAGGGGAGATCTTATTGCTAGGAAGAAAAAAAAAAGGCGAGGGGAAAAAAGTATCTAAAATTATAGCCATTTTCCATCAAAAAAAGTAAAAAGGAGCACCCAAGGCACTGTAGGCTGATCTGGCTCAGCTGAGTCCACAGAAAAAAAAATCACAGGAGTATGTACTCTATATGTTCTTCTAATCATATAAAGAGGTTAATCTTAAATAAGAGACCAATTTGCCAACGGCAAATCGTGCTCAAGCAACACAATTGCCTTCAGTGATAACACACTTGGCTACAAGAACGAAAGAAAATATGTAGATGTAATGCACATTGTCTGTTAAGAACTTTGGTACCCTCTTCCATTGCATTCTCCTTTCTAGGCCTAGGAAATGCAGGCTCAATAAACTGACTTGCATAGTTTGAAAACTAACTGAATAAGCTTAAAAGACAGCTACTGGCTGTCAGCTGAATGTCAAGTAATCTTGGGTCAGTACTGGAGCCTACAAAGCCCAACATTTTCATCAGGAACCTGGATAGTGAGACATAAAAAGCAAACAATGCTAAATCATCTGGAATGGTGGAGACAGCTGGAGCAAAGCTTCAGTTCAGAGGGTTGTGTCCTTGAGAACCTTAAGGACTGGGATAACAG